CACAAGTGTATGCACACATGTACAAATACATGCATGAGTGCATACACATCATACCTACTATGTTTCTAGAAAAGGTGGTTACAAATGATTGTGAAAAACACTTACCAGTTTCCGAAGTCCTTACAGACCGCAAAGATGATAACTGATTGCCATGACCAAGTCCAGTGTAAGACCGTACAGAAATGTTGTAAAGGGTATAAGGTTTTAAGTCACTCAGAATGATATTTGTTGTAGAAGAGTTTTTAATGAACAAATGGGTGGTATTTCTGTAAATGACTTCGTAGGTGATGATGATTCCGTTTGGTTTTTCTGGTGGCAACCACTTCAGTTTTATTTCTGTAGGAGTCACATCCACAATCTCAACACCTCGTGGTGGTGAGTCTGGTTCTGCAAGAAGAAAATTTTGTTTTAAAAATAATATATTCAAGTTAGGTATCTTTTGTAAGCAGTTTCCTTAAATATTAGCAAAATTTATTATATGATACATCATTTGGCCCTAACACCCTTTTGTTTTAAAATAAGATGTGGAGGGACTATATTCATTAGGTGGCATATTTACACTGACATGAAATCACATATCCCTGAAGTAGGGAAGAATATATTATTGAAGGATGCATAGCACCTAAAGTCATTGGGTGACATGGATCATCGGCTCACACATTCACTCATTTCCTAACCCTGCAGTTACCTCACTGCCCCATACCCAACAGTCTTTATTCCTTAACAATCAAAGAGCATTTATATAGCACCTGTTATGTGATAAGCACCATGCTAAGTACTGGGAACACAAAGACAGCCCCTGTCTACAAGAAACTTATATTATATTAGGGGAAATATTATGACTGAGGGCTCAAAACTACATCAATCAGATATTTATACCTGATAGGGTTTAATCATCATTAACCTCAAAATATTCATATTCTTGTGGGATGTATAAAAAATTTGAGAGACATAATTTCTGGGTAATTAACCCTTTTATTAATTTAATTTAATTTGTGTATTTATTTAATTTTACTTTAATTTTGCCTCTCAAATTTTTTATATGTCACAGTTTATAGGGACTGGAATTGGAGCCAAGGCCCACAACCTTGCATGATGTTACAATCTAGGTTAACATTCAGTCCTGGCCCCAGAGCTCAATTTCCAAGCATCCAATAGAGAACTAGTTCCAATGATTAGCATTCCAACACCCTTTCTTCACAGGATCAGAGATCATACATAGGCAGCTAAGTGACACAGTAGATACAATTCTAGACCTGAGTTCAAATGTGACCTCAGGCATCTTGGGCAAGTCATTTAATCTCTGCCTGCCTCAGTTTCCTCATCTGTAAAATGATAATAGCACATTTCACTCAGAGTTGTGAAAATTAAATGAGATAATCTTTGTAAAGGGCTTTGCAAACCTTAAAGAAGACTATAAATAGTAACTATTATTATTACTGTTATTATAGGATCATAGATTTAGGGCTGGAAGGAACCTTTAAAGCCAACTATACCAATGTCTTCATTTTCATATTACAGATGAGGAAACTGAGATCGCAAGAGACTATAGGACTTGCCTGAAGCCCCATAGGTACTGAATAGCAAAGGCTAGTCTTTGAGTTTCAATTCCAGCATTAGGGTCACACCCGTTCCATATGTTTACTCACTGGTATTCAACACTGACTCAGCACATATTCAATAATTATTTACTTTCCATTCTTTCTCAAGAAACCATGCTACTGTGCTCATTTAATATTCATGCTATGTCTCCATCACACCCAAAACCAGATTTCACGTTACCGTACCAAACAGTATTTGACCACCGGCCCCAGAAGAAAAGTCCCAGCCCTTTTTAAATGGTCTAGAGAAAACATTTTTCTTTGCAGACAGCTGTGAGAATGCTGTGTCTTCCTTGCACAGCTCTCTAACTGTCCTCCTTCACAATTTTAACTACAGACACTCAAAACCATTTGCTCCAGCCATAAAGAGGATTCTTTTTTCAAGGCTCTTCACAGTTTTCTACTCATGTAAATTATTTCTGAATATATAATAAGATATGGATGATTCAATCAACTACCAGGAATAATGAAAACCAATGCAACTTTCTTGGGTATATTAGTGAGAAAAGGGTCATTGAGCCAGGAGAGCTTTGTTGTCAATCTGGGCTCTCACATTAACTACTTGTGTGACCTTGAAGAAGTCGTTTGACTTCTCTGAACTTCAGTTTCTTTATCTGAGATAAGAGCACCTGTCATATATCACAAGCTTATGATAAGAAAAACACTGTCTACCTTAAGGCACAATTGGTGTGAGTTTTCTTTCACTTGAAATATTTAGGTGATGTTAGCAAAACAAAAGCAATTGCAGGCATTACTTCCTAAGCTCGCCTCTTCACTTTATGACAGTATAGAACTTAGAATCACAGATATAGAAGTGCAAGAGACTTTAGGACCCTGGTGAACTTGAGCAAGTGATTGCATTTCTCTGGTCTCAATTCCTTGATCCTTAAAATGAGGGAGTCCAGTCAGATCATCTCTGAGGTCCCTTCTAGCTGCAATTGCATGATCCTATGATCACAGAGGCTGTTCGATCCAATCTCTTCATTCATTTCTTTTTTTAATTATTTTTTATTTGCAAATTTTCTCCCTTCCTCCACCCCTCACCCACCCGTTGAGAAAGTAAGAAATACAATACTCATTATATACGTGAAGTCACACAAAACATTTTCATATTGGCCGTGTTGCAAATTTTTTTAAAACGTGAGGAAAATATGATTCAATGTGCACTCAGAGTTCATCAGTTCTCTCCCTGGAAATGGATACCATTTTTCATCACGAGTCCTTTGGAATTATTATGAACTACTGATCAGAGTAGATAAGTCTGTCACAGTTGATTATTGTTACAATTATGTAATGATCATGTAACAATTATTGTCAACAATAATCAAGTACTGTGTACACTGTTCTGCTTCTGTTCACTTCGCTTTGCATCAACTCACATAAGTCTCCCAGGTTTTTCTGAAACTATCCCCGTCATCATATCTTATAACACAATAGTATTCCGTCATAAATCATATACCACAACTTGTTCAGTCATTCTCCAATTTATTGGCATTAATTCAGTTTCCAATTCTTTGCCACCACAAAAAGAGTTGCTATAATTTTCTTTCTTTTTTTTGGAGGCAATTTGGATTAAATTACTTGCCCATAGTCACACAGCCAGTAAATGTCTGAAGCTAGATTTGAACCCAGGTCCTTCTGACTCCAGGACCAGTGCTCTATCCACTGCTCCAACTACTGCCCCTAAATATATATATCTATATAGATATATATATACACACACATATATATACATATATACATATACATATATACATATACATATATACACACACATATATAAGTATATATATACATACATACATATATATGTCTTTTTTCCTTTTTCTTTGATGTCTTTGGGATACAGACCTAGTAGTGGTATCATTAGGTCAAAGAGTGTGCACAGTTTTATAGCCCTTTGGGGAACTCCATCATTTTAAAGATGAAGAATTTAAAGGACAGAGAGATAAAAGTGATGCACAGATAGTAAATAGCAGAGCTAGGACTTGAGTTTAGGTCCTCTGACTCCAACTCTGGCATCCTTTCCACCAGGTCATGGACAAAATAGATTTAAATGAAATGAGAATGTGATATTCTTACCATCTTCTGGGGTTTGTACAAAAATATCATTTTCTTCAGACAAAGCACTCTCCCCAACATTGGTTGAAGCAGCCACTCTCATTTTATACTTTGTGTATTTCTTCAAACCTACAAAAATAACCCACAAATGATTAAAAGAATCTCTCAGTTAACATTCTCAGACTAGATCCCCATAGCATAAAATACATGCTATGATGGGGGCGGGGGAAATAATTGATTTTGAGGACCATGCATACATCAGTCTAATCAGTCCCAACTCACCATAACTGCAACCTTCTAATATATGTACTTCAGAAACTTGCCCTGTAGACATGATCTTAGCTGTTTCCCTGGGACAGAAAGATTCTAAAGTTCAAAATGAATATTTGGCACTCTTAGGAAGACTTGGCACAATCATAGGCTATGAATTAGTCTGAATTCAGATGGAATGTTATTCCTTTGTCTTCAAAACATGGAATCAATGTTCTGCCAGATTATTCCAATTGATTTTTTTTGGATGGTTAAAGGATATCCTCATTAAGGCTCTTTTCTTTTTTTTTTTCTTTTTTGGTCCAGAGAACTCCAGGTGTAGAAACTCCCTCCACTCATGCAGATCAGCAACTCATCTGTAACTTATAGTTGTAGAGGGCTGCTATAAAGGCCTGAAAACTTAATTGACTGGCCCACAGTCACACTGTTGGCATGTGACAGAAGAGAAACTTGACAAAAAACTAGCTCTCTAACCATTCTACCACACTGCCTCTCATTTAAGTATATTCCCATTAAAATAGTGACCAATTTTTTGTGATAAAAATTGTCAAAGAAAATATATTTATCTGTCTTTTTCTTAGGTCTTGTTCTAGGATGCTCTTTAAAATTAGATAAAAATTTAAAAAAATTATTGTGACATGATACAATAATCCCCTAGAACAATGAAGATCAGTATGCCAAAATACCTAAATTCACATATTCTTTTCAGCAAAAACAGCAACCATTTTAATAAAAACAGTGTTCTACCTGTGATAAGAAAGCTGTTATCTAGAGTGGTCATCTGGAATGCTCTGTTTGTATCCAGTTCCATGGCATAAATTGTATAATGAGTTATTTTTCCATTGGGATATTCTGGTGGATCCCAATACAGCAAAATAGATGATGAGCTAATATTTTTATACTTTATAGACTGTATGGAGCTTGGCACTTAAAAAAAAGAGGGAACAGTTAATGATGATTGGAGAAAAAATAAAAGCATTAAAAAATCTTTGGATAGCAGGATCACTGACACGTAACTCATTCAGAGGAAACACACTTTACCTTGCTCACTTGTCCTGGCACTGAGAATGGTTGGTGGTCCTTCTCCCATAATTGTGAAAGCAGACACACTGATCGTATATTCGGTGAAAGGCACAAGCCTCTTTACAACATAAGACAGCTGTTCAGCTGAAATGTCGGTGAAATACGAATCACTTGCTGTTCCTGTTTGGAATAAGAAATAACTTTTGATCCCATAAACAAAATTATTCCTATTCACCCACCAACAGTTTTAAGCCTGAGTGCACATATTTGTTATTCTATCTTTGCTCCTGTTTTTATTGCCTGTGTAATGGGGATACTGGGAAGGCTAATTACTAAAACGATCACTATAATAAGAATGAATAAGATCCCAGCTATTACAGATTAGTTGTTATTGAATGATGTTGTATAGAAGTGGGGAATATGAGGTGTGAATCAGAAAGAATCAAACTTGTCCATACCCAGAAATCTGCATGCTAACTTATGGGAAAATGTTTATGAAAATACTACATTCATATGTATAGCATATATTGCCTTCCCAGCTGAGAAGCTGGTGTACACTGGTAAGGCATTGGGAAAATCCAAATTAAAGCCATGCACGTTTATAGAGTTCCTACATTTTACATAGTTTTATAGTCTTGTTCTAATTGGAGTCTCACAAAAACCCTATGAAGTAGATACCAGAATTATTATTATGTCCCATTAGAATGTAAGCTCCTTGGAGACAAGAGCCTTCTTCCTTTTGTATCTGTTGCCACCCTGCCTGGTATATAGTAAGTGCTTAATTCATGCTTGTCAATCGATTGATTGATCCCTATGGTACAGAGAGGGAAAATGAGACCCAAAGAAATTAAAGGAAATGCCCAGAAGTGGAATTTGAATTCATCTCTTTCTGACTTCAAATCCAGCACTTCATCCAAAATGATGAATCCCTAAAATATTCCCAGGAACAATTTTCCAGAATGACTCTCTTTGTATTATTATTTGTCCACTGAATATAAAAAGGGGAAGAGTAAGAATAATTCAATATTTAAAATGCTGAACATATTTGAACAAGATCGCTGCGGCTTTTAATGGTCATCGTCATTTTCTATACATTCCTAGAAACACGGATTCCCAACTCAGTATTTTACAAGCCAAATTAAATTATTATCATAAAGCAGGTTTGGAAAGTCAGTGGTAGGTATAGCCAAATTAGCATATCAGAAGCAGCTAGCTAGGTACACAGTAGGAGCTAGGAAGTTCTGAGTACAAATCTGGTCTCAGACATTTACTAGCTGTGTGACCTTGGGAAAGTCACTTAACCTTTCAGCCTCAGTTTCCTTATTTGTAAAATAAATATAATAATAGCACCTACATCATAGAGTGGTGAGAATCAAATAAGATGGCAAATATAAAGTGCTTTGCAAACTTTAAATCACTATATAAATTCTCGGTTTTGTGAGTAAATAAGTAGTGAGTGGAGAGGTAACATGGTGTCAGGCAATCCTTGGTTGTCAGGAAGACCAGGGTTCAAGTTCTGCCAATGACAGATATTCATTTTCTCTTTCTCTCTCTCTTATAATATATTATATTATACATTATTTTATAATATTTAAATGTTATGTAATACATTGCACATCATTGTATACTAGCTATAATATTTTATAATATATTGTATGTTTGTATATTATAATATTCAATAATGTATTATGTCATTTTGTACTACTCTAATATTTTATATTATTTTATAATTTATATATTATATCTTTTAGGTTTTATTATATTATATTTTGTATTACATACTGTATTATATGGAGAGCTATAGATATAGACACTAGATAGACAACCATGAACAAATCACTTGTCTTTTTTGTGTTGCAGTCAACTCCTTAAGATTTTAAACTTCAAAGAAAATGTGAATCTGCATGGGTCAAGGAGTTTCATGACATCGTAAGATCACAGATTTAGAACTAGAAGGGAAATTTGAATTTTTTTAATCTAACTTCCTTGTATTACAGACGAGGCTGCTGAGGTCTAGCTACGCATACAGGTAGTAATTGACAGAGGTAGGATTGGAATCCAGGTCTTTGATTCCAAAACTGGTGCTTATTTCCACTGTTCCCATACAGGTGGCAGCCTACCTTGACAAACTTATAGGCCAACACTTACCTCTTGGCTGTCTCTCTCCTCACCACCCCTTTCCACTAAACACAAACTATAGAATAATCAAAGTTGAACTTGCTTTCTATGTGCAATCCATGGTGTAATCAGAAATCAGTAATAAGCATCTAATACAAAATATGAGAATTCAAGATTTTAAAGCTATCCCACAGCATGGGATTCTGAGCTCTTAGTTTTATTCAAAAACTTTTTTTTTTGCAAAGCAGACAAATTATTGTATTAAGGAAAACAATAGAGCTCATTCTCATGGTAAATTTCATTAGAGGAAAATTAAACTGTATACAATTAATTTTGAATGGGCATGGCTTAAAAGAGTGGTGAGTGTATTATAAACTATTCTGTTCAGATGGTCTTTAAAAAAAAGAAAAGCAGTGAACTCTAACAAGCCTGTGTCTCCCAGGTTCTGTTTAATGGGTCACAAGTATGCCCATTCTTCTTTCAGAAACAGTAGGGTCCATTGACACCCCAGAGCAAGTGTATATACTAATGACATCACCATGTCATGGAGGTCACCTCCACCTGTTGGTCACCCCACACGCTAGAGTTGTAACTTTTTGACCTATTTACCTTCAGTGATGGCTGAAAACCTATTAGTCAAAAGCGGCAAAGAGAAGGAGGCTTGTAAAGGATTGGAAGATATGTTAATCCCCTACAATCACACCTGCTTTGGCAACTGTAATAACTGATTGTCTATGCAGCTTGGCCGATGACTCTGGGGTGCTAGTTTTTCTGGGAGGAAGGTCAGCTGGGTGAGGAAGGGGCTCTCTCCTGCTTGTGTGGCATTCCCATTTACTGCACAAAGTTATCTGCCAGTTTAAAAAAAAAAAGTAAGAAAAAAGTCTGACTCCACTCCATGACCCATTAATAATTTGGTTGAACTCTGTACTAAAGTAGCCAAGACATAACAGCAGCATGGATGGTTGAGACAGAAGTTACGGAGAAATAAAAATTTTATATACCAGTTGTTGAATAAAGTTCTTCATTTCCATTTGCTTGAGGAATGCTATTTTGAGAAAGGCTAGAAAAGAGAACTGGAGATCTTGCTGCCATATTGAAAAACATCTCTGCTGAGCCTTCGTATGATGTGGTCACTTCATTTATTAGACCCTCGGTTTCTGGAGTCATGGAGTCACCCATAAGCTGAAAAAAAAAATAAATCCTGATCTTCACAGTTACACTGAGCAGGGACTTAAGTGAATGATTATTTTAACAGTTGACGGTTTGCATACAGCTTTTTTACAATCGGTGCAGGATTGTTTTTCTGCCATGATTTATTTTTGTCAATTACTTTTACGACATTCCACTCTCTAGTTACTAAGAATTAGCTGTAACATAACACTCCAGTCACACTTACAAGAGGCCACTAGTCCATTTTGAGAATGGATTTTTTTTTGAGTGTTTGTTTGTGTGTGTGTGGATTTCACTTAGTTTCTTAAGGATGAAAATGGACATCTTCAGCAAGATATTTCAACTAAACATACAAATACTTCAAGTGATAATATGATACCCTGGATAGAGCAGTTGAGGTAATATAGGATAGAGAAAAGAGTTCTGGATATGAATTTGAGTTCATTCATTCTGCCTCTGATACCTTGGGCAATTCATATAACATCCTTGGTGCTCGGTTACTCCATATATAAACCAAGGGGAATGTGACTCGATGATTCTTCCTGCTCTAAATCTATGATATTGATTATTTATGTCAATTCAAATTCCAGCTCAGCCACTCAGTAGATTTGTAACCATAGGCAAGGCATTCTTCTATTATCCTTACTTCAGAATCCTGTTTCCTTCTCTGTATAATAGATAACAGTTCCTACCTCAAAAGTTTATTGTGAGGCTCAAATGAGATCATACAAGGGTAATATCAGTTAGTAGTACTAGTAATAATAATAGTCCATATTTACTGTTTAATAAGTGTGTTGAAATTTGACATAATGGTTAGAGAGCTGACTTAAGAGTCAGTAAGACTTGTGTTCATGTCCTACCACTATAATAATAACAATAAATAATACTAATAATAATAGCTAACACTTACATGGTACCTACTACACTGTGCTAGGTGCTTTCCAAATATCTCAATTGATCCTTATAACAATCCTGGGAGGTAGGTGCTATTATTATCCCCATATAAATGAGGAAACTGAGGTAGAAGTTAAGTGACTTGTCTAGTGTCTTCCAGCTAAGTGAGTGAGGCCATATTTGAACTCGGGTCTTTGTGATTCCAAGTAGACTGCTTTATCCACTGTACCACCTGTGTTGACCGTGGGCAAGTCATTCACTTAAGTCTCAAGGCTCTAGGCAACTCTCTAAGACTAAAAATTGTAGATGTTGTGGATAGAGGGAGTTTACATACTGGGAGCTCCCTATCCTGATGAAATCACAAGTATAGGAAGAATAAAAATGGAACTCTCTCTATAGGAACTTTTTCTGACAAAGTCATTTCTCTATAACTTACAGACATAGAGCGTGATGAGTACAATAAGTAGTTAAGTGACTTGCTCATGGTCAACAGAGCTAGTATAATATGTGTGAGAGGCAAGGCTTGACCATGGGTCTTCTTGACTCCAAGGTCATTGTCTGGTTAATATGGCACAGGGATTCATATCACTTAGTAGCATTACCTTACATTTCACCAACTTACTTCACAAAGTAGTCCTACCAACATAAATTCAATTGATCCTTTTAATAATCCTGTGAGTTGGGCAGGGTGATTTTTTCATCTCCACTTTAGAAGAAGCTCAGGCTTGGGAAAGCTAAATTACTTGTTCAGAGTCATACAATGAGAGCTGCTGAACACAAGACTAAGACTTCTAACTTCAGGTTTAATGTTTTTTCTACTCTTCTACAAGTCTGATGGAGGGAAAATTTCTGGACAAAATTTTTTTTCAAAATGCTTAGCTTTATATTTACAAAGATATTTATAGCAGTTCTTTTTGTGGTGGCAAAGAATTGGAAACTAAGGTGATGTCCATCAATTGGAGAATGACTGAACAAGTTGTGGTATATGATTGTTATGGAATACTACTGCACTATAAGAAATGACAAGCAGAATATTTCAGAGAAACCTGGAAAGACTTATATGAACTGATACGAAGTAAAGTGAGCAGTACCAGGAGACTACTGTATACAGTAACAGCAATATTATGTGATGATGAACTGTGAATGACTCAACTTTTCTCAGCAATATAATGATCCAAGACAATTCTAAAGGACTTACAATGAAAAATGCTATCCACCTCCAAAGAAAGACCTGATGAAGTCTGAATATAGATCAAAGCAAATGTTTTTCCTTTATTTTTCTTGGTTTTTTTTTTGTCTGTGTTTTCTTTTGCAAAATGGCTAATACAGAAATATGTTTTGCATACCTTCACATGTATAAGCTATATAAAATTTTTGCCTTCTCAAGGTGGAAAAAGTAGAGAGGAATTCAGAACTCAACATTTAAAAAAAAAGAATGTTTAAAAAATTACAACTAATTGAGAAAAATGAAAACCAAAACACTTGGCTAGAGCATGCCTTGCTTCATTGTACACATTTTTATTTTATAACCAGCATATCAATTTATAATTGAAAGATTTTCCTGACTTCTCAGAAACATACATCTAGTTCAATTCAATTCATTTCAATTCCATAAATTCTAAACATCTTTTATGTGCAAAACACCTTATTAGGTAGAGATTAAAAGGGTATATTCCTTGTTCTCAAGGAGCTCAAGGCTCAAATTACTAGCAAGATATGATCCTTGCACAAAAAATACAATAAAGGATATAATTTGATAGTGCCAAAGGAAAGATTCAAACAAAGGGCTCTAAGAGAATTTCAGAATGGAAATATCATTTTCAGCTTGGAAATGCCTTTAAGGAGAAGAGAGCACCTCAGATGGGCTTTAAAGAAAGAAGATTGCAAAAGATGAAGATGATGGCATGATTTTGAATGAAATCAATGAATAGTAGCTTCAGTTAACTGAATTGTAGAGAGTTATGTGGAATAAATCTAGGAAGATAGGTTGGAATCTTGTTGTGGAAGGTTTTAAATGACTGGTTAAGGTGTTTCAGTTTCAAACAATAGGCAAAAGAGAACCAAGAAAGGTTTTCGAGCAGGACGGTGAGACAGGGTAAGATATGAACATTTTATATGTATATATTTGCAGGTGTTAAGGAAGAATTGAAAAGAGGAAATATATGCAGGAAGCAGGGAGACGAGATTAGAGGCTGCTGAAATTGTTCAGGCAAGAGGTGACAATGGCCTGATTTGAGTAGTGAGTGACATTGTGAGTAAAGAGGAGGTAAAAGGTGAAAGAGACACTGTTTGGCTAGAATCACTGGAATGTGGCAAGTGACTCATGTGAGTTGAGATGAAGAAGGGAGATGAAGAGAGGTTTGATTTTTGGAACTCAAGTAATTTGAAAAGATGGCACTTCCATAAGCAAAAAGAGGGAAGCATGAGACTTGGGATGATATGAGTTCAGTTTTGGACAAGCTCCAAAAAACATGTATCTTAGAGTGTCTGAAGTCCTGACTATGTCTGCTTAATTTGTAGCCTATGATATGAGGCTGGCTGCTCCAACCATACTTCACTCATCATACTTCACCCTGTCATCTCCTCACCAACCTTGTTATTTCAGAAATGCCCTCTATGTCCACCACTCTGCCCCCATTTTCCAAAGCAATACTTCCATGGCTACTCAAAAAAAAAAAAAAAGGTGTTTCAATCTCTTTTCCCATGGTTCTTTTTTTACCATCCCTCTAAGTTTCCAAACCAAAATCCCCCCCTTAGCCTCCATTCCTCTATATCTGTTGCTTCTCTTTATTAGAATGTAAGCTACTTGAGGAAAAGAAAAGTTTAGTTCTTGTCTCAAGTACTCAGCACAGTACTCGGCCCATAGTAAGTGTGTAATATATTTTTAAAATTTATTTGCTAATTAATTCAATCTTTTGATGTATTCATAGGATATCCAAGTTAGGATTTCCATCAGATAGTTGGAATTCCAATGTGCATGAGAGGGAATGAGAGGGAACATATATATTTGGGAGTTTTGGGATAAAGGTAAGAAATAACAGAAGCCATGGGAATAATAGAGACAAACAAGGAAGGGAATGAAGAAATATAAGAGAAGAGGAACAAGTATAGGGCTTTGGGTAACATCCTATTTTGGAGATCAAGAAAAACATTAAACCAATGAAGGAGAATAAGGTTGATGCTTTATATCTGGGTGAAGTTATTTTATTGTTGTTCAGTCATTTCAGTTGTGCCCAACTCTTCATGACCCTGTTTGGGGTTTTCTTGGCAAAGATACTGGAGTGGTTTGCCATTTCCTTCTCCAGATCATTTTACAGATGAGGAAACTGAGGCAAACAGGGTTAAGTGACTGCCCAGGATCACACAGCCAGTAAGTGTCTGCGGTCAGATTTGAATCCAGATCTTACTGACTAAAAGCACGATACTCCATCCACTGCATCACCCAACTACCTACAAATCACTTAATCTCCTTTGGCCTTGTTTGTTTATTTTTTCCTGTATAAAATAAGAGGGTTGGACTAGATGCCCTTTAGAGTCCCTTACAGTCCTGAATCTATGATACTATGATATGCTGTTCATAAATAAGATAACAATATTCCAAAAAGGCTAGAGAAAAGAGAGGAACAAAACCGGTGATAGAGATGCCAGAAGATCCTTTGTCTTCTGAGCATCTTAAGATAAATTACTTTAGCTTTGCTAAGGTAGCTTAATATAATGGAAAAATAACTGGACTTGGAGTCTGAAGACCCTGACCAAAGCCCTAAACTACTTGTGTGGCTTTGAGTAACTCACTTAACTTCTCTAAGTCCCAGCATGCTCATCTTTATAACTGCACTCCCAGCTTCACAATGTATTCATGTGAAATAAATGAGTTAGCATATGTAAAGTGCTTTGAAGTTGTAAATAACCAAATAAATGTCACCCCTTGTTATTATATTTAACCAGACAAATGGGAATGAATCTCATTGCTGTGATTTGTCTATAATTGTAAAGTATCAAATAAATGTCACTTTTTATTACATGTAACCAGAAAAATGAAGATGAATCTCATTTATGATTTATCCATAGTTGTAAAGTATCAAATAAATTCACCTATTATTGAATCTGTCCAGAAAAAAATGGGATTAGAGAACTCTACAGACAGAAAGAGCACTTAAGAGATCTTCCCCTATTCTAGTTTCTGCCATGCCTCCACAGGCAAATCAGAGTAGCCTGAGCCACAACGACATAACTCAGAGATGCTCTGGCATTCCTGACTCTATAACCAATATATTATGTCTTCACCACACAGCTGTGTCCACTATCAATCAATCAACAATAGAAGCTCTACTGTGTGCAAGCATTCTGTTAGGGGCTATGAAGGACTGAGTGCAAAGAAGGAATTTTCCCTGAATTCAGCCTTTGCATGAAAATCCATCATGATTTTACCCCAATGTAGTCAGTATTGGAAGCTATGCAAGTGACATTGGAAAATCTCTCATTTTGTCTCCTAGCATACCCACAACTCAAAGCTGCAGCAGAAAACCTTCAGCTTTGTACCCTTGGATGCTCTACATTCTAGAGAAGTGGTCTACAAGATACACCCCCTATGCCCCACACCACTTTTCATTTTTATGGTGCAAAGTGAAATGAACAAGATGAGCAGATGTGGATGGTTTACAATGTGCATTGCAGATCTCATTACATTATCTTCCTAAATATGTTCTTCTTGGGCAGGTAGGTGGTGCAGTGGATAGAGCACTAGCCCTGAAGTCAGGAGGACCTGAGTTCAAATCTGGCTTCAGACCAAACACTTGGTTCATATTCTCAGTGTCATCCTTAATTCTTCACTCTAACAAATGTGACATATCCAATCTGTTGCTAAATCTCATTGATTTTGCCTTCATAACATCTCTCCTATATGTCCCCTTTTCTTCACTCACACAGCCACCTTCATCCAGACCCATTTCTCCCTTGTCTACTACAATAGGACCTTAACCAACCTCCCTTTCTCAAGTCTCTCTCTTTTCCAGTACAGTCTCTACCTAGCTGCCAAAGTGATTTTTTCTAAAGTGTAGGTCTCACTATATCACTGTCCTACTCATTACAGCAGTTCCATATTAACTCTAAGATCATCTTAAACTTTAGAATGCATGTGTTCTAAGTATTTTGGTACTTATGCAAACATGTAAATATGGTAGATAAAAAATATATTGAAGATGTGAAACATGCTCAATTTTTTTTAATCAATAGAGGTGCATGATCAAAAAAGCTCAGAGACCAATGGTCAACACTATTCAAATTGAGGTCATAAACTTAGGGAAGCAGCATGGTGTAACAGAGAACACCAAGAATATGAAATTGGAGGACCTGGGTTCAAATCCTACCTCTGGTACTTACTACCTATTATACGATCTTGAAGAAGTAACCTAAATTCCTGAACCTCAGTTTTCTCATTGGTAAAATGAGGGAATTTCACTAAACAGTTTCTAAAGTCTCATTAAATTCTTGATAGATTTGTGATACTCAGAGACTTGGAGCTGGAAGGGCTCTTCAAAGTCATATAGTTCTAGCCCTCTCTCATCTTATAGACATTTATCCATTTATACAGCATTTTATAGTCATAATCTTATTTTTGGAGCCTCATGGCTATCTTTTGAAGTAGTGCTATAATTATAATTGTCTCTGTTTTACAGATTAAAAAAAAAAAACTGAGACCTGAGAGGTTTAATAATTCACCTACACATAGGATACACATGTAGTAAGCAACAAAGCTAGGGTTTGAACCAAGGAAGTCCTGTCTCTAAGTCTGGTTCTATATACTATGGATTCTTAATCTTCTTTGTCTCCTGATCCCTTTTGGCAGTCTGGTGAAACCTAAAGACCCCTTCTCAAAATAATATTCTCTAAATCCATAAAATAAAATAAATGGGATTGCAAATAAATATAATTACACTGAAAACCAAAAACTACCCAAATTTTTAAAATCTACAGACCTTAGGTTAAGAACCCCTACTCTACAACAGCACTACTAGATCTATATCCCAAAGAGATCATCAAAAAGGGAAAAGGACTCACATGTACAAAAATATTTATAGCGGCTCTTTTTTATGGCAGCAAAGAATTGAAAATTGAGGGGATACCCATCAGTTGGGAAATAGATGAACAAGTTGGGGTATATGAATGTAATGGAATACTATTGTGCTATAAGAAATGGTGAGCAGGCAGACTTCAATAAAACCTGGAAAGACTTATATGAGCTGATGCTAAGTGAAGTGAGCAGAAGCAGGAAAATATTGTACACAGTAACAGCCACATTGTGCGATGATCAACTATGATTGACTTAGCCCTTCTCAGCAATACAATGATCAAAGACAATCCTGAAAGACTTGTGATGGAAAAAGCTAACTACATCCAGAGAAAGAACTATGGAATCTGAATGTAGAGCAAAGCATACTATTTTTATTTGTTTTTTATTTTTTTGTTTTTCCTTTCTCATGGTTTTTCGCTTTTGTTCTGATTCTTCTTTAACAACAGGGCTAATGTGGAAATATGTTTAACATGATTGTACATGTATAGCTTATATCAGATTGCATGCTATGTTGGGTAGGGGAGAGGGAAGGGAGGGAAGAGGGAAAAATTGAAACTCAAAATCTTTCAAAAATGAATTTTGAAAACTATCTTTACATGTAATTGGAAAAAATATTATTAAATATTAAAAAGCCTCCTTTATCCACTAAACCACATGGATACTGCCTCTGTGCTATAGAAGGATGCATTAGACACATTCCTGAATGAAGACAACAGAAAATACTTTTAAGGTCCCCAATTGCAGACCCAACCAAGTAATCAAAACCAAATAAATAAAAGTCAGTACCTCATCTTTTCCTGTAAGCAAGGTATCTTCCAAAATAATTCCTGTCTCTGAAACAAACACTCGTACCCTATATTGACTAATGATTCCATTGGGTTGCCGTGGTTTCTTCCAAGTAATGCTTATTAGTGTGGCTCCAACTTCTAAAAGTTGTAAGTCAAATACTGCGCTTGGAACTAAAATGAAAAAAAGAAAGAAAAAAAGGTTAGAACAATATACTCTAAAAGGTTCAGGTTCTTCAAGAGAAATCTCGCTGGACCAGAGCTTTAAGGTTTTACCAACCCATGATTGAAAAGGAAAAACCAGGAAACATTGCCAGTTTGTCAATATCTAAAACATAGCATGAGAGCCTTCAAATAAAAGAGCATTTGAAAACTAATTTCTATGAGTTTTAGCAGAAGAATTAGAGGGAAGAAAATGAAATGCAATCACTTTCAAAACTCATTTAGAATTCTCCTTTTTTTTAAAGTTCATATTCTTACTCTTATTCAGTTCTTATTCAAACAAATTAAATATTAAATAAAAAATCATTTAGTTTGATCTTAACCTCTTATTGAAACATCCAAGAATTAATAAAAATAATCATAACAAGAAAAAAGAGAAGGAGAAAGAGGAGTAGAAGGAAGATGGAGGAGAAAGGAAGAACGAAGGAGAAGAAGAAGAGTATAATTAGGAGGAGGAAGAAGGGGAGGAGGACTGGAAATTCATCTATAACTTAAAATCTTGGAAATTTACCAAGTCCCTTGCCCATGATCACTTAGCCAGTAAGTCTTATAAGCAGGCCTTGATCCCAAATCATCCTGACTCCAAGGCTGCCCCTCTACCCATGATGCCATGCTGACTCTAATAATAGAATACTAATAATGATTGGAATTTATATAGTGCTATAAAAATTGCAGAGAACTTTATGTATGTTATCTTATTTTGGCTATCAGTTAACATCTTGACTTGCACTACACATCAGTTGGATCAAGCTTTTTTAATTAAGGCAGATGCTGTATTTGGAGTCAGGCAGACCTGCTTTCAATACCTCCTTAGACCCTTAATAATTATTTGGACCTGGGCAAGTCACTTAACCATTCAGAGTCTAAGGCTCCCCATCTATAATACAAAGGTGTTAAAAGCACTTCCCTTCCAAGACTGTTCATAATATGACACATTATTTGGAGGCAAAAGAGACCTAGCTTCCTGCCATCTTGTGCACTCCCTACATTATATGGATGAGAAAAATGAGGTTTAGTAATAGCAATAGAACCAGACTTTGAACCCAGTACTTTGATGTCTGGCTCCAAATTACAATATTATCACCACTAAATCACATGATGATCAAATGAAACAATGCCTTTGCAAAGCTTAAAGCTATTGCGATATTTATTTACACAGTAGCAAGGAGAAATGTTTTCAAGGGCAAATGAAATTAATTCCTTCAACATCAAATAAACTATGGAACTAGAAAAGTATATGGCAGTATTTAAACTTAAGCTCTTTGTACTCTCTGTCTCCATTCTCTTTGTCTCTGTCTTTTTTCTGTCTCTGACTCTCTCTCTCTCTCTATGTATATATATATACACACATATATAAAACATATATGTATATGTGTATATATACAAACACATTATATTTGTTGAGAAAATTAGGTGGCACAGGGGATAGACAGAGCATTGGACTTTGATTTAGGAAGGCCTGAGTTCAAATCCAGTCTAAGACACTGTATGTGTCTGTGTGACCCTAGACAAGTCACCTAACTTCACTCAGTCTCAATTTTCTCCTCTGTAAAATAGGGATAATAATAATACTTATATCATAGTGTTGTTGTGAATATAAAATGAGGTAATATTTGTAAAGCACTTTGCAAGCATTAAAGGTATATATAAATTATATATGTATATATATATATACACATACACACATGCATACACACATACACACCCGTACTGTTATTGTTTAGTCATTTCACCTGTGTCCTACTCTTTCAGACCCCATTTGGGTTTTCTTAGCAAAGATACTGGACTGGTTTGCCATTTCCTTGTGCAGCTCATTTTACAGTTAAGGAAACTGAAGCAAACAGGATTAAGTGACTTGCCTAGTATCACACATCTAGGTACGTGTCTGAGGCCAGATTTGAACTAAGGACAATGAGTCTTCCTAACTCCAGACACAGCACTCTAGCCACTGTGCCACCTAACTGTGTGTATATATGTATATATATACATGTATGTGTATGTATGTATGTATATATACATATATATACCTATATGTGTGTATACATATATATATAACTATTTACATATGTGCTTATGTGTATATATGTGTGTATATACATACACTTATGTTCTATATGAGGTAGATATCAAGGATGACACTCAGAGAATATACAAGTGTATTGGAAAATGTCTTCTCTGAAGAATTAAAAATGAATACTATACAAAGGAAAATGGAGAGGGAAATGGGTATAAGTAGAGTAAATGCATAAAGAATGAGGGACTTTGGAAATGAATAGAAGGAAAAGATACCATGGAAAGGTAAGACATAAAATGGAAATGGGATCATCATGTAAAGATGATAAATAACAGGTGGGTGGCCAGCATGTTCTGTTGGAGTCTTCACAAAGTCAGGAGAAACCAAGGAAGACTTCTAACATATTGGGTAGACCCCCGTCTCCTTTCAGAGGATCTGGACAATAGGCTCATTGAATGGGTAAGTGTGGTGGGGTGGCCATGCACTGTTGGAGGAAACTTTCAAATTAATAAGTTCACAGATACATTTGAGTATTTCAGTAGTTGAGTATTGGTGGAAAAAAAAACCAAAAACACTGAACTATACATAGTTAGCAGTCCGAGATCTCACTCTTATTCTGTCTTTTGACTGAGTGACCATGAGTGAGTCCCTGTAACTCTATAGGGCTTCAATTACCTAATCTCTGGATTGCCAATATTGCCTTTTCTACTTACTTCATTGGGCTATTTTAAGGCTGAAATGAGCTTTATCTCTGTGAGTAAGTTGAGCATGATGGGAGAAAGGAAACAGTGACCTCAGGGGGAATGAAAAGGAAGGGGCAAGAGATAAACAAGCCAACCATAAGATCTATGAGGTAGAAGTCAGGAAAACCATGAAGTGGGCACAAGGAATACAGCACTTTTTGGAGAAAGGAAAAAGTCAAAAGCAACAGAAACTGAGTCATAGGAGTTGAGCTATGCAGAGTCCTGAGTATTTTCCAGGGAATGCTGAGGATCAGCTGTCAGCTGCAAAGGGGAACTTTAAGGAAAGAAGACAGGAAAACAGGGCAAGAAGGAGAAACAGAGGAATAGAGAATTTGGAGTCAAAAAAGTAAAAAAGAAGGGAAGACAAGTGCTGGTTCCACTTTGTTTCGTCTTCTAAAAAGGAGGAAAATGGGATGTTCTGAAAGAAAAAGCTCTGCAGTTTCTGGGATGGGAGGAAGATGGGGGAAGACTCTTAAAAGAGAAGATTTGCTTCAAAAGGAATGGAGCAGCTGCGCAGAAAGAGATTATGTGGTGGTAGGGACTCTGGTTATTAATTCAAGTGGGATGAACCCTAGGGACATATTTGCAGTAATTCAAATCCCTAGAAGTAAGGCTTTTGATGTGAGCTTCAGATCCACAGAGACATTGGATTTATTTTTGAAGAACATAATAGAAGCAAATGGGACAGGCCAGCTGGAAGAATTTTGTGGTAATTCTGGTAAAGGGGCCAAGGCTAAAGCCTTTGTTCACTGTCTTCAAGAATGAAATAGTGGAGAGAGAGATCATTATAACCAAGTTATGGAGATAGTCATATTAATTATGCCTGTAAAAGTAAAAGAGGCGTTTAAGGTTTGGACTGAATAATATTAATCTACTTTAATCAATAAAAATTTATAAAGTACTTAATAGGTGTCAGGCACTGTGTTAAGCTCTGGGAATGCAAAAAAAGGAGAAAGAGAAGGAAAAGGAGGAGGAGGAGGAGGAGGAGGAGGAGGAGGAGGAGAAGAAGAAGAAGAAGAAGAAGAAGAAGAAGAAGAAGAAGAAGAAGGAGAAGAAGGAGAAGGAGAAAAAGGAGAAGGAGAAGAAGGAGAAGAAGAAGGAGAAGAAGGAGAAGGAGGAGAAGGAGGAGAAGGAGGAGAAAAAGAAGAAGAAGAAGAAGAGAAGAAGAAGAAGAAGAGAAGAAGAAGAAGAAGAAGAAGAAGAAGAGAAGAAGAAGAAGAAGAAGAAGAAGAAGAAGAAACAGTTCCTGCCCTCAAGGAGTTTACAGTCTAACACATATAAAACAAAATGGTGGGAAGTGGGGGCTGGGATCAGAGCACTGTAAGATTGAATATTTACAATTAGAATGAAATTTAAAGGTGATCTAGTCTAATCCCCAGCCTTTACAGATGAGGAACTGAGGCCCAGGGAGGTCACAGAGGCAATAAGCACCAGAGATAGAATATGAACCCTGGATGTCTGATTCCAAATTATGTACTCTTGGTTAGCCATCCTCTGTCAGAAGCTTTTAAATTCAGAACAGAGAAGGGTTATAGCTGAAATAGAGGATCAAGGATAAATACTACTCAAGAAATCATCCAAGTGTAATGCATTTCAAGGAGACCATTTCAGGTGAGAAGACTGAATGCACAGTCATGCCATTTATGACAAGGGGAAGAGGGGAGGGAGGGAGAGGGAGAGGAAGAGGAAGAGAGAGAGACAGAGACACAGAGAGAGGATGGAGAGACAGAGACAGGGAGAGAAATGTATGCACATTTTGTAGTAAAGAACATAGCAATGCAAGCTGAACAAGGCTATGGCCCAATAAAAGGTAAACTAGCCCATCTGGGTTTTGAGGGCTCAGAATAAAAGGGGAAATGGGGAAATAATAGATCTGGGAACATCTAAATAATAATAGTTTATATAATTTATAATGCAGTTTGAAGTTTCTAAAGTGTTTTACAAATATTATTTCATTTGATTCTCACAATAACCCTGGAATGTGGGTGCTATTATTATTCCTATTTTACAGATGAGGAAACTGAGGCAGACAGAGGCAAGTGGTTACAAGAGGCCCAGGGTTACATAGCTAAAAAGTATCTGAGACAGGATTTGAATTCAGGTATTCCTGTCTCTGAGTATAGAGCTCTGTCTATGGCACAATGGAGATCCAGGTCTTTAAAAGGAGTGAAAAATATTAAGAAGTTACTTCAGAA